ATCTATCCCAGCTGTCGTTCAAGTGCAGAGCCTATCAAATTTAAGCCACCACGAGAGTAAATTGTTACCTTTGGAGAAGGGACTTCTCTCGAGGCCCCTAGAGTTTGCTTAGGGCCCCGTCTAATGCACAGGTTAATGTGTGGCCGTAACATAACGTTATGGCTCAAGACGCGTCAAAGACGAGATTGCACGAGACTGAAAAGGATGCCTGCGCATCCTTGCACGCCCGTGTCCGGGAGGGATTCATCTATTCACGTGCCACTGCGCGCCTCCTCCCCCTTCCCCCCCCCCCCCCCCCCCCCCCCCCACGAAACCTCTCCCCCCCCCCCCCCCCCCCCACGAAACCTCAAGGAGGATTTCGACCGATAGCTCTTTTACCCTCGCTATATCGCGTCTACACCAAGGTGCGGATCTCTCATGTTCGGGCTTGGGCTGCCAGATCTGGGGAAGGCAAGTCGACTCTAGACGTGGGCGCTAGGACGATGATATACCCCGAAGCTCACCAAGGTAGTGCATCGAAGGCCGTGGCCACAACCCTGACCGACATCAGCAAGTGCTTCGACAGGGTTCGCTGGCGTCGCGTCTTGCAGGCGGCAGCCAAGATGGGTTCCCCTACCCCGTTGCTCAAGCTATGCCTGGCGATGTACTACGCGCCGAGGCGCATCAGATGGGGATCGTCGTACTCGTACGCGGTGCAGGTGCAAAGAGGGGTACTACCAGGTTGCTCGGTGGCCATGTTCCTCCTGCAGCTGGTCATGATGATGCCGTTCGACGTTTTTGAGGAGTCGGTTGCCACGACGGAGGTAGACCACGCGCTGGACATATATGCCGACGACATCACCTTGCAGGTGGGCGCCGCACTTCAGCATATCGTGGAGGAGTCAGCTCGCATCATTCAGAGATTGGCGGTCGTGCTGCGCGCGCTGGACTTGCCCATCGCGCAGGACAAGGCGAAGATCATGTCCTCGGCGCCAGGAGTTGCAAGACAAGTGGCAGATCGTGTCAAGCAGCATGGCTTCAAGGCGTGCACGGTGCTCGAGATCTTGGGCATGGAGGCCAGAGATGGAGTCAAGGTTCAGTACACGGCTATCAGGTATCGCATGACCCAGCTCAAGCGACGTCTTCCCAGGTTCAAACGTATGGCCGCCATGGCAAGGATCGGTCGCGCCATAGCTCAGCCATCGATTGGTCCAGCGATCCTCTGCGGCGTGCAGGTGATCGGAGCATCTCGCTCCATCGTGCGCTCCATGGCCAAGATGGTGCGTGTGGGCTGGCATAAAACACCGACGGGGACCTCATCGCGGTTGGCTTCTCAGTTGGAGCAGAGGCGAGACCAACGCCCTGATATATTCGCGGTGGCAGAACCAGTCTACACCTGGGCGCAAATCGCATCGGACAGAGCTCTACCCTGGGAAGTTATGAATCAAGCTTTTCAGCAGCAGCGACACCGACTGGGCCCAGTTCCTTCGTGGCAAGATGTAGCGGGGCCTGCAGGTGCGGTTTGGAACGTCCTCCACCATCTGGGTTGGTGAGCTCAGTCCGCTTTCCAGTGGGCCACAGCCCAGGGCGTCCAGCTTGACCTCAGGGTTGATCCACCTGATTGGGTACGTGCTCTGGCGAGGAGGTCTTTCGTCAACTATAAGTGGGAAGAGTGGGCCTCGCGGGCTGACCGCGCACCTGAGACGGAGGCTCCTACACGAAAGGCATGTGGGTACTGGCTTGCCCCTCTCCAGCTTCTGCTCACTACTCGTGATCAAGCTCGCAAGTGGAGACTTTCAGTACGAGCGCGCGCAGCGCTCCGCAGCACCATCATCGGCGGCCAATGGTCACGAGCGAGATTGCACAAGTACGGCTTCTCGGACACGGAGGAGTGCATGTATTGCCAGGAGTGCAAGGGCACGCTTCATCATCGACCATGGTGCTGCCCCAACTTGGCTGAGGAGCGTGCGCTCGCAGTGGATCAAGAAATCATCGATGAGGCGCGCCAGGCTCCTGAGAACGACATGCTATTCACGCGAGCCGTGCTTGATCGAGATCAGCTCCCAGTTGTGCCTCCACCAGTTAGCGAGGAGATCTGGTACTACGCCTACGGCGGCCAGCTTCATCAGATCACGGGCGAGGTGTACACCGACGGAGCAGGTCGCACGCGCATTGGGTGGCCTGACGGTGCTCGAGCGGGCTGGGGACTGGCCCTCATGGACGACCAACGATTGAAAGGCTTAGCGTTCGGTCCTCTCCCAGGAGCTCAGCAGTCGGCGCCCAGCGCCGAGCTCCACGCCATCATCATGACGCTCAGGAATGACATCCTCCCCCTCCACATACACACCGACTGTATGATGACGATCGACGGTATCAACCAGGGCAAGCAGTGGTGCCTGCATCCTCGACGGGCTCACGTCGACTTGTGGCGGCTGCTCTGGCACGCGCTCGAGGATCATGGAGGCATCAGCGACATCCTCACCATCGAGTACGTCAAGAACCACCAGACACAGGAGGACAGCAGGCATCACCATGGCAAGAAGGGCAATGACTATGCCGACGTGGCGGCGAAGAAGGGGCTCGCCAAGCACGACATCCCACCAGCGGCGCGTGCTCGGCATCGGGAGCTCCTGGACCGAGTCCGCCAGATCGCGGCCTGGATCGGCAACGCGCAGGAGCTGGTCGAGACGAGGCCCGACAGGATGCCGACGGTCTCGAGGCGAGCTCGACGGCAGCAGCGACTCCGACGGGGTCGTCCACGGCGAGAGCGGCGGCCTCCCGCGCCGCTCCTGAGCCACCAGAGGCGCCATGCACCTGAGCGCGCGCTGCGTGGCTGGAAATGCGCTAATTGTCCGCGCTTCGCGCGTTCCGCCGCTGGTGAGAGGCGAATGATGGCGCAGGTTTGTTTTGTTGATCTCCCTCTGCCTAGGATTGTGGACCCGCAGCCCCCGTCAGCCCCCAGAGAGCCTGAGCCCCTTAGGACCAAGCGCCCCAGGGACCCCTTCGGAGGCCTCGGAGGGCAAGGTGGCGTGCCCGAGGCTGGAAGCCAAGAAGGCCTCAGGGGATCCCGAGGAGACTTCGCCTCCCCGTCCTCCTGCTCCTCCTCTGGGCCTTGAGGACCCTCCTCCTCCTCCGCCTCCTCCTCCTCCTCCCTATGGGGTGGCCCAGGAGTCCAGGAGCCAGGCCAGGCCAGTCAGGGAGCTGGCGGAGCCTTTCGTGAGGCAGGTCAAGCCCAGGGTTCGGTTCGAGTCGCGTCCCCAAGGGGTGGTCCGCGATGCGGCGACCGCCCTCGACGGCTCGAAGAAGCGCCCCCGTCTGGCGGCCCCTTGTAGGGCCACGGCTGCCCCTCCCAGCACGGCGCCCCCGTCGGATGGGGATGCGTTCGTGCCGCCCGAGGCGGCCCGAGGTCACATCCTGTACAGGGCTGGGGAGATCGTAGGATGCACGAGGTGTGGCTCCTTCTCTGCGAAGGCCACCCGTTCCGACCTGTATGGCACCTGCGACCCGCAGGCTCTCGTGTCCAACCCCCAGCGGAGGTGGCGCCGAGATAACTTCGCTTCGGGCCGTCATCCCAGTGACGGCCGAAAGCACCCCATCCCCATGCCCCGTAGGCTCCAGGTTTCAGACCCTGCTGTGCAGTGGCTGGGGTTGCTTCAGAATTTAACGCCTTAAATTCCGTTTTAACTCGTTTTGTATTTTCCCGCGTGTAGGGCAGTGTCTGGTGAGTTGATCGTCGGTGCTTGCATGCGTCTGCTCCAGGTTCTGCTTTCCAGTTCCTGTGTTGCTCCTGGCCAGGCCTCTGGTTGGTGAGTGAGCGTGTGCCCTGTGGCCGTGATGCTTTGCTGGGCTATTGCAGGGTGTGCCCTCGTCGTTCTGTGTGCGATTGTGCTTCTCACCTGTTCCCTTTCCTCTTGCCTGTCCTTCGTCTCGACTCGGCGCGTCGCTTCATGTGCTCGCTGCTCCTCCTCCTCCTCCTCCTCCTCCCCCTCCTCATCCTCCTCTGCCCCCCCTTGACTGCGCGTGGCCGGGGGTGCTTTTGCCGAAGAAGAAAAAACGGCATACACATCCCATCAAGGAGGCCTTTAAAAACACATCCGTATCCGCGGCTTGCGGGCCGGGCCCCTGGGCCGCGACCCCCGGATCGGTGCGATGGCAGTGGGTAGTTAAGGAAAGAACGGGCACGAAGAACAGCAGCAACTCTTGTTATTTTGAACAGGACTCTCTGTCGGTGCCGCCGCAGACTTTGTCAATTTTAAACAGAGGGCCGCCTGCTCCACAGCGGCCGCTGTCGGTTCTGAATTGTTGTTGGGCGTGGTACGTACAGTGGAAGCCCGTGCCAAGAAACACCCTGCTTGCCTCCAGGGTGCCCTGGTTTCCTGTGTTTCGATGGCTTTGCGATGGAAAGCGTGACGCTCCCACACCAAGAATCAGTGGACGCTCTGGGGTCTCAGGGTTGGGTTTCTTGTGGAAGGTTTCTTGCGGTCGAGCTCCCACTGCACTTTTGTCCCATACCCATTTCGGGCGTCCAAACCAGAAAGTACGGGGCGCTGTCTCGGGGATGCCCTGCGCGGAACGTGTCCGTGCGACCGCGTATCCGCGGGATTGCGCCCTGGAGTCCAGAACGCGAGGGCGCGGATCCTCAGATCTTGCGTTGCAGGAAAAATGGCACCACCGCAACAAAAATCCACTGGAGCCCCAGACCCATCTCTCTGCTCCATTCTTCGAGCCGCATCGATATGTGATGGCCCTGGGGTCCGAGCTTGGGCGCAAAAACGCCCAGCTTGAAACGAATCGCAACGCTCGGCTCCGACGGGATCCGGATACGCTATCCGCTCGCGAGATTCACCGAGCGCGCTCCACTACTCGCAGAGTTCCTGCTCGCAAACGCTCGAAATCAGCACATCCTCGCCCCGATACCACCGATCGTGCATGCCCCGAGGCAGCTCTTGGCTACTCGCGAGCGGTGACTTTGCGAGCCGTGGACTGCGCTTCTCTGGCGATCCCCGGCGCACGCCGCGCAGGCTTTGCGCTCGGCGCCGCCTGCGCGGCCCTCGCCGCTGGCCGCGGCTTCGTGGGCGCCCCCGCCACGGGCGCCGCCGCGGGCGCCCACCTGCGCGCCGCGGGCCGCCCCGCGCCGCAGCGCGAGGGCCCGGCGGCCGGGCGCGGCGCGGCGGCCGGCGGCGCGGGCGGGCTCGCCGCCCTGGCGGCGGGCTCGGTGTTCGCGGCCGCGGCCTCGCGCGCGGCCGCGTGGCGCGCCGCGCGGAGGCCACCCACCGCGTCGTCGTCGTCGGCGGCGGCGGTTCCTTCCTCCTTCTTCGTCCTCCTCCCCCTCCTCCTCCTCCTCCTCCTCCTCCTCCTCCTCCTCCTCCTCCTCCTCCTCCTCCTCTCCCCCTCCTCCCCCTCCTCCTCCTCCTCCTCCTCCTCCTCCTCCTCCTCCTCCCTCCTCCTCCTCCTCCTCCTTCCCTCTCCTCCTCCTCCTCCTCCTCCTCCTCCTCCTCCTCCTCCTCCTCCTCCTCCTCCTCCTCCTCCTCCTCCCTCCTCCTCCCCCTCCTCCTCCTCCTCCTCCTCCTCCTCCTCCTTCTCCTCCTCCTCCTCCTCCTCCTCCTCCTCCTCCTCCTCCTCCTCCCCCTTCTCCTCCTCCTCCTCCTCCCTGCGCTCCTCCTCCCTGCGTTCCGCCTCCACGCCCCCACGTTGGGCCTCACTGCCGGGCCGTTCCGAGGAGGACTGGCTATGGGTATGGGTTCGGGCTGTCGGCGGCGGGGTACGCGCCCGTTCGAGCGGGAACCCATCGCCATCTCCGTCCCCCTTTATGCGTATGGGTGTGTGTATGCGTATGTGTATGTGTATGTGTGATTGTGGTCGTGGTGGTGTTTATGTGGTTATGTTTGTGTTTGTATGTGTGTTTGTGTTTGTGCTTGTGCTTGTGCTTGTGCTTGTGTTTGTGTTTGTGTGTATTTGTGTGTCTGTGTGTTTGTGTGTTGTGTGCTTGTGTTTGTGGTTGTGTCTGTGCGTGTGCGCTTGTGTGTTTGTGCTTGTGTGTGTGGCCTGTGTGTGTGTGTGTGCCTGCCTGTCTGGCTGCCTCTCTGCCTGTCTGCCTGCCTGCATGCCTGCCTGCCTGCCTGCCTGCCTGCCTGTCTGTCTGTCTGTCTGTCTGTCTGTCTGTCTGTCTGTCTGTCTGTCTGTTGCTCGTCCGTCGTACCTGGCGGCGCGCACCAGGGGGGTGGCGGGCGGGCGGCGGCCTCCTGACAAAACAGGGGTCTTCCCAGGAGGGCCTCCTGGCTTCCAGTTGGCCTTCTTCATAAGCCTCCAGACCCTTTCTACCCAGACCCCCTCGGGCAATGACAAAGTCCTGGCGGGAGGTTTTTCAACGTCTGGCCTCTGGAGGCCCTCACCAGGCCTCGGGACTGTCAACAGCGACTCAGGATGAGAAACCGGTCCCGGGGAATGGGTCGAGACCTCTGAGCTCTGAGGGTCATCGTCATGAAAAATCATGATGTCGGGGGTCTGGGTAAGAAGACCCCCCTCCTCCTCCCCCTCCTCCTCCTCCCCCTCCTCCTCCTCCTCCTCCTCCTCCTCCTCCTCTTTCTCCTCCTCCTCCTCCCTTTCCCCTTTTCTCCATGGCTGACGCTTCGCATGGTGGAGTCCCTTTTCCCTTAGTCGGAAAGCTGGCAATTCGAAGGACCCTGAGATCCGACGCTCCCAAAAAGTATGAGCGGGCGGTTTTGGGCCGTCTTCGGCCTCGGGGGGCCCTCGCCGGGCCTCGGGAGCGTCAAGAAACGACCCATGACGAAGAGCTGGCTGTATGGGGCGGTGCTACGTCCAGGCCTCCGGGGCCCACGCATCGAAACAGTGAAGCAGCCGGACTGGGGAGATCGCCCCCCCCCGTCCCGCTGGATGGGCACGCCCGTGGGCCTCGCGGAGGCCTCGCGCAGGGGATCGCCCGTCGCGTCTTCCCGCGAGCCTGGCGTGGTGGTGGGTGCCGGTGCCCCCTCCCTGCCCCTTGTGGGTGTGGAGTGTCTCGTCGTCGTCGTCGTCCCCCGTCGTCTCCCGTCGTCGCCGTCGTCGACTTCCGTCGACTTCCGTCGACTTCCGTCGACTTCCGTCGGCTTCCGTCGGCTTCCGTCGAGTTCCGTCGAGTTCCGTTGTCTTCCGTCGTCTTCCGTCGTCGTCGTCTCCGTCGTCGTCGTCGTCGTCGTCGTCGTCGTCGTCGTCGTCGTTGTCCCCCCATCCCATCTGGGGGGGGGGCCTGTGGAACCCTGGGGCCCATCCCATCTGGGGGGGGGGACTGCGAACCCTCGACCCGGTCATATATGCCGCCCTGCCCAAGAAGGGACGGCATATACGCCGACCTTTGGGCTCAGGATGAGGCCTGGCCAGGATCGGTGTAGGCGTACAGTTGGCGTCCCTGGGGCCTCGCAACGTGTCTGGGGCGTGCCACGGTGCGCCCGGGGGCCACACGCCACTTGCGCCACCGCGTGGGCCAAGGGGTCCAAAGGCGGTTGGCGCCCCCCCATCGCTGTG